GTCACAGAACCTCATATTTGTCTTTTTTTTTAATAATTAAATTTACATAACAGAGTATACTGTTTCGCCCATGATACCCCCCATGCGTTGCTATTCCTATTATCTTATTGCAGTCCACTATTGGACATAGGCCGATCCTAAAGCGCGCCCCTCTGTACTATTATACTTAGCTATAATTTGTATTACTGCATACATACACACATGTACCTACCTACTGCACACAGCAAGTTGCATTTTTCCCACGTAAGATTCTTGTTCGAAGTATAGGCTGAAATTGTATACCATTAACAAGGAATTGTTAGCATACTGCACACAAAATGTTTATTATCACACTAGCTCTATTTCACGGTTTTGCCCGCATGAATCAGTAGGTACATTGAACGTGGTATTACGTTACACTTATCCCACCCATGTGCCAAGGGGAGAGGAATTGTTAGTAATGGGGTCTAACTGCTCCATTGCTTGGGGGAAAGGGATTATTAGCAATGGAGTTCGACATTGCTAGCAATATTACCCTATCAGGTCGACTATTTTTTTTAACAGGTATGAAGATATAGGCCAACTGGCCTGATTTCATCCTCATCTGTCAGCCTTCAATGGTAAAAAAACTTCCAAGCGGCTCCTGTTGGAAACCATGATGGTTAGTACTGGTGCAATTCGTCAACCCACTCAAAAAAAGGTCTACATCAGTTCTAAAAATTCTCTTATTTGAAAGGATATACTCACAGATTGGTCTCGTATAAATTTTATTAAAATCGGTTCAGTAATTTAAATTTTAGACCAAAAAAACTGGTTTTGTCACAAATGAAGTCGGTATTTTTTGTGGGACACAATTTTTAATTATATAAGTAAATCTATTAGAACTACTGTCGTATGTCAATGAATTATCATCTTATACCATTGGGAGTTTTGCCAGTAGTTGCCAAGCTTGGCAGGCGGTTAAGCTTTGGTGATGTTTTAGGTGGCACGTTGCATCTCATCCCTCGACCAATAAGTTCCCTTAGTCACCTCTTATGACACCCACGGGAAAGGAAGAGGTGATCATTCTATGCCGGGACCACACGGCAAATGGCTCTGGACCGTTTCTTATGGCAGTATAAGGGAAAAGCCTATATTCAGCAATGGACATTTAATGGCTCATATGTTAGTGATCTTATTTTTAAGGTGTGGACTTGAAAAAAATCGTTTTATAATAATTACTAAAAGATTATTTTGTACAATATACATATATGTATATATATATATATATATATATATATTTGGGGCATGGCATGAAATTACAGGGCACAGAATTAGGGCCTTAGTCCTTAGGATTAGCATCGCATGAAGTGCATCATGGGCGGTACCGTATACTCTGTTATGTCCATGTCTACAGATGGCGGTTACCACTTTCCATCAGGCGGGCCGTCAACTTGTTTGCCGTTCTAATTTGCATAAAAAAAAGTCTACATGGTCTTATTTCAGATCAAGCACCTTGACTGCGTATTGTTTAGACTGATAGGTTGCATCTTCATGGAATTACTATTTATTACGGATAAAATTTTTTTTATCATAAATCTTTTTACAATTGTAAAATCATATAATTCTATAACAACTGAAAGGATGTAATATACCTATTGTAATGTAATGCTTAGATGTTTGTCCTATATCCAAGAAGGCGTGTTGCAACCGTGTCATGTGTCACAGCGGGCCTGTGGGCCTCACACATGCAGTGTCACGTTACTACCAGGTTCTCATACTCGTGCAATGAAACACATTTTTTATCAATCATACAATATGTATTTAATATAAGATACAGTACTTGTGACAGGTGGACAAACCATTGCATTATAAAAAAAAAAACCTTAATAATCACTACATTGAACAAATTTAGGGTTCAGAATTAAATTAATATTTACTATTATTATGCCCAAATGTGTGATAAATTAATTGAGGTAGATTACCCATCCGTTGTGGGTCAAAATTATAATTAATTTTCTGAATTCGCCATCGTGGGAGCAACCAAATAAGACAATGCATTAAACATTATACTATATATAATTAAATATCTACAAATTGAATATTAGTGCACACTATTAGGGATACATATGTCCACATATAGTTACTGTTGTATCTCGTCAAACATTTACAATAAAAGAGAACATTCATATAATAAACGCATAATATAGGAAACATGTTGAAAGACAACTTGCGAACACTACCACTATTCTATCCCCGGCACGAGGGCCGCTCGCGGGACACGGTGCCCACTGATCCCGGGGCGAAATAAGCCTTGGGACAGTCGAGGGCGGGGTCAATCGCGCCTCGGAGTCGAGTCCCGCGGTCAGTCCCTGCCCCTTCACTAAAGGCCCAACCAGGCGCGAAGCAAATTACAGGACTACGCAGAATAATGCTTAATAATAAATACTTAACTATTTACATTCCACGAATCCAGTTCAACATTGACCAGAAGCAAAAATCCATATCACGGGAACGATACAAACTATATTTTCTAATAGAACTCAACGGTACAGATTATAAACAGTGGGCTCTGTACTTGAGTATTACCTAATTGTTTGATCAGCTTGTACATACTACCACAAAAGTAGGTGAGCAGCCGTGAACACTATTCTGTTATTTTAAGACTAAACATGTCGAGGCGTGTTCATCTACTTTTGCCGTGGACTGTACAGCGATGGCGGCGGATCGTTCGCGCGTCTGCATCGCAGCTGTAATGTGTTTCACGCCTTCACAAACGTCAGTGGATAGGCCGCGCCAAATAATACAGACCGAAACATTCATTTACAATAGGGCTACTGAGAAAACACGCCCCCCATTAGGGGGGTTGAAATGTATTTGTTCCCCATTAAAATACTATATTGTTACCTAAAACGAAACGGTATTGTTCTGCGAAATATTTCGCATATTAATAACAATATTACAACTTAAATTAGTTTATTCGCTGAGCAAGTGCGACGAGACGCGTCCGACGACGTGCGACGCACACAAACGTAAAGCTGGCGACACACTAGCTTGTCGTGGCGAATCGTGACGCAATAGGTTGGGTTCATACATTGGGTAAAACTGAAACGTCACAATACGCCACGCCATCCATAGTACATTTCTATAAGCGGTTTCGCTAAAAATAATCTAAATCCAATTGCATGGGATTGACATAAGTTACCGAAATAAATTTCGATAGTTTATATCATCAGCTTCACATTAATTATGAGCAAATTCCATACAATTTAGATTTCATGTGGCTTATGAAAATGCACTTAGTTTACAGATTTTGGTAGTGTGTCTCCAGCTAAACTGAATGTATGAAACCGATGTATACACTACACTAAATGTACGATGTGTTTGTAATGCGTCGTCACGAAGCGTCACGACACGCCAGTGTATACCTAGCTTTACCCTACATCCGACAACACTATCGACTATTGTGGCAGTGACAAAAATATAATTCTTTTTGCGCTTAAGAACTCTATGTATGTATACTTTAGATATAATTTAGTATCCCGTCGAGAACAAGGATCGTTTTCACAAAATATTTCTCTGCCTAACCATTCGAACGCCTAATATTATACTAATGGAGATAGATAATTTAGTCGGGTATATTACTTTTGTATCAGCCACCGCGATGTTTGAACAATCGAAACAAAATTATCTAACGATGTAGGCCAGTTTGAAGATTATCCAGAAACAGTATTGAGCGAAATTTAACACACTACGAAATATCTCTGCCATGCATTCGACACAAATACACCCCTGCCCTCCCCTCACTGCCCATTTATTTGAGATCAAATATCAAGTCCATATTGTTAAACAAAATAATTTTGTCTTTCTGATTTTGGTGTCGAATTTCACTACAAAAATAATTTATAAAAAAAAAAATGCGAGCCAATAAAATATGGCACTACTATCAGTGCTGAAAAATTATACTAGATTTTTTAATTTATTAAAAAATAATATGTAATCAGTACATTGGAAATCCTCCAAAAAAGAAGTCTAACTGTAGAAAGCATACGATTCCATAAACACACCGACAATCAGGCACCAACTTGACTACTAGAGAAATTTTCCTATTACACTTTTTTAGGTCCGTACCTACTGCGAGCGCGTACGCAAATGCATGTCGCCGTCTCGCTCGTGGCCGTAAAATAGAGCGAGACAGACATATATACAAGTTCGAACGAGCTCGAGTGCCGTCCTCTAATATAGACACAAGAGCTTTACAATGTGCAAAGGTCAGTCGTTAATTTATTGGGACTGACAAATGCATATAAATACAATTCAAGAAGTTTACAAACAAAAGGAGACTGGCGTGAACACATTACTGTAGTGTAAACGGATTGGAGAATAACCATCTGTGATTTAGCATCTCTATTTTATTTCTTGAACTCCGTATAAGGTGTGAGAGAGATGGAAGACACGCGAAAGGCCTATCTGTGTTCACGGTGCTATCTCATTCAGTTATAAACTTCTCGATACAACCCTAACGCCCTTTTATACGCAATATACACCCATCAGTATTACTAGAGACACTTTACACACTACAATGAAACTAATACATAATCTCTTCTCTTTTACAAATCGAAAAGCGAAAGTTTGAAAATACATCGTGGTGTTTTCTATATTTCATCCTAACTTAAAGTTTATAGGCACTAACTAAAAACACTAGCGAGATCGTGTGAGCACAGAACACAATTGCTTCATTTGTAAAATCCCTTATGACTAAAAGGCAATAATACGTTTATACAACTTTTGTATAAGGGACCTCCAAAAACATTATCATCTAGATTGTGGATATTTTATTCACTAATTGTAATTTGTCTATTGACCGTATTGTATCAAAGTCATTGGCGTTGTTTTCGATTATTGTATCAAAATATGGGGGCTACGTTATTATAAAAGTAATGGATATAGCAATTTTATATATATCACCAATTAATTTAGCAGATTTTTGCATATCTATATCTATATATATATATATATATATATATATATATATATATATATATATATATATATATATATATATATATATATATATATATGTGGATTTTATCAGTATATCAAGAATTACGTAGTATGGAAAATATCAGATATTGTTTAGAAATCAATTAAAAAAGAATGGCAACATTCAAGTTTATGGAACATTTACACAATTTTATAGGGGGTAGTTGCATAATGACGAATGGCACCTAATACTGGTCAGTCCTTAAAACTATATTATTTCAAATATACAAAAAACAAATGTGGATATATTCCTTTCTATCGAGTCAAGTCTATCAGCGAACCAATAATTCTATTAATAAGCTTTCTTTCAAATATTGTCCAGACAATCTAGAAATTGTCGCCATTGCTAGATACTGCCATAAAACGATCAGGTGTTCGAAAGAGAAACTACCAGAAAAGTGAAAAACTAATATTATCTCTACACAAAATTATAATTGAAATGGATAAACAAATCTTTGCCAAATAAAAGGGCAACAAAAAACTGGAGATATAATAAAGGAAAAAAAATCATTTGCTCAAGTAACATAAATTATTGCTGTGGTTTAGAAGTCTATGATAAAGACTTGAACAAGTCTTAGATTGCCTCATAAACTATGCACAAACATCAGGCGCTTGGGCCACGAAATAAGTCTGTCCAGTACTAGGTGTCACTAGCGATAATAGTATTTTTTCTTACCAACGTCTTATTAAACTTTTTAAGAATGCTTATGCAGAGTTTACTTTTATTTTGATTTTTTTGTTTTTATACAACTTAGAATGGCAAACAAGCTGACGACCCACCTGATGGAAAGTGGTAACCGTCGCCTATAGACATGAGCAGTACCATGGACATAACAGAGTATATTGTTTCGCCCATGATACCCCTCATGCGTTGCCACTCCTGAGGACTCAGGTGTTATTCCTCTGTACCCAGTAAATTCACGCCATATCCCACCCTTCAAACCGAAACATAGCCATGCAAACACAACTGCTTCACGGTTGAAAGACGAATGGGACAGAGGTACCCAAGCAATCGACTTTTGTACAAAGTCTCCCTCTGGTAAATTATACTTTGTTGACTTAATTTTTTCATATATAAAATTAAATATTTTAAATTTAAGTATCTGTCACTAGAGGACATTATTTACTTATATACACTAAAATTAGCTTTATGTATAAATACAATTATGAAACCAATCTGTAAGTATATGTATTCAAAATAAATTTAGCACTGACAGAATTATAAAGTAACAAACCTATAAACAATACAATCGAATTGAACCTCCTTTTTTAAATCAATTGAAAAAAAGCAAAAAAAATACCACAGAATTTTATGAGTGCGTAGTCTTCTATTGTAAAGGTGACATTTATATTCCAAAAGGGTGGTAAAATCAATCATAAACAATGACTGTTTAAAAATGCTTAAATTTAAGTTTATATAAATTAATTTATTTCTTTCTTTGAAATTTGGTTCACGGTTACAGATTATTACAATATATATTGCAATAAATATATGATAAAACACTTTTCTGTCAACGTGTGTCCTTTATTTCTAAATGTTGCCATTCTTTTGAAAGATATCCTATAAAATACTAATATGCAAAGAAGTTAAATTTATCTATTCAGCAAGTTGTCATAGCCAAAGAATTAACAATCACATACTATTTATATTTCCATTACTTATATAATATAAAACCTATCCCTCCGTTATTAATTTAACACGATTTACGTACTATAAAAAATCACTTATCAGTGGTAACACCTGGATGTATAACCGATGGAATATTTAAAAATAAAACTTGTACCATAACTTTTAAACATATCCTGTCTATTAGTGACGACTCTGTCGATACAAAATGTTACTGGTGTTGCCATTTTATAAATTGTGCGTGAGAATCGGTTATTGAACTATTAAGTCTTATCACATAGTGTTATTGCTAAAAGTACATATATTCTGTTCTTTCTTATTTGGCACATTTAGTAAACAATCTTGGCGCGTCTTTCTATCAAAAATAAATAAAAAAAAAAAAATAAAGAAACGATAACTTGATCAGTTCTAGACTGTAGACAATTCCCATTTATAAATCAATAGGGTTCATTATTGGTATTATATAATTATTCACAGGGCAATATAAAAAAAAAAATAAACGACTAATTTCATTAAAAAGACGTGTCAAGATTATTTACTAAACATATCATGTAATTAAAAAAAATGTTTACAGTTGATGCTAAAGTACAATAAAACTAAACACAACATGAATGGCAGTGAAAACTACATTGGACATAAATACGTAGACAGCTGTTGATTCTGTAAAGCGTCGTCGAGATTGCTTCAATAAAACTGGAACACAAAAACTGGAACTCGAAAACGTCGAATATCAAAATTGAACTCTATAAACCTTAACGCTAAGTGTGTGTTTCGTTTGATATGACTAACGCGGGACAACTTGATATTAAGTGAACACTAACTACATCGTTATTGGTATATCCTGTGCTGTGTCGAGGCACTTGGTGAGTGATGACGGAAGAGTTGGTACACCGAATACTACATTCGTGGTCACGCACCCAACCACAGACATGAATGGAGATAGATGGCGCAACTGTTCTTGGTACTTAGTACCCTCGAGAGAGCCTACTTGGACTATGGTAAATTTTTTCGACTATGGCTAAATTGGTTACTTATGTAGTCATGTGAAGTGGAAATCTCAGGTAATGTGGCCGATTTTCGTATTACTAGTACCAATTTTAATCCCTGCTCCTATACTGAGTAGAATTTACATTAAACAATCTTAATTGTTGGACAAATGCAATATTATTTTATGCAATTTGCTAACAATAAACAACGTTTTTAATGTAATAGCAAGCATATATTTTATTGATTTTAAATGTTTGACAAGTACACGATTATTTTTTAAAGAACTTTGTCGCTATTTGCTAACAATAAATAGCGTGTGTGATGTAATATTGCAAGAGTATATTCTATTGAATTATATGTTGTTGTAGGAAGGTCCATATAACTGGTTACTTCATTATTTTGTTTATTTCCACTACATTTAGTATGTGTGAACAACTGACACGATATAGATAAGTATAGATTTAATAACGGTTGGAGATCGGTTATTGGTAGGGAAGTTTTAGACTTCTATCATTAGTGGTGATCAGTCTCCGTATCAAACTTTGATACACATAATAATGGCAGCGGAATTAAACAGAACAATAATAATGAAGTAACTAGTGAGTGCATTATAACTGTTACACGTTTGGTCACTTGCGTCGTCTATCCGTATCAATGTCTCTGCATCCGAGACCATCCGTACTGGCACCTCAAGCGAAAGCAAGTCGAGACGCGGGGTAATTACAACTAAACGAAACCACATCGATAAAGCGACGATCGCAAATTATTCTAAGCTAAACCGAATCACGATTCAATACAAACTAGTATGTACAGGTTGGCAGTGATGCGTATCGCTGGTCGACTGTGTCGCTACTGCGACACTACTCCTTAAACTAACTTAAAGTATTCAGACTACTCGCCCGTTCGGCGACTCGGACACGTCCAACTAAATCGAACACTCGAATAGAATCTATTGTACATCAAAACTCGATTAGCGAAACGAACCGGGCACTCTAATATTTTTTACACATCGCACTAATTATTTACATATTTTCTCGCAACCGAACCCGTCGCATTCGGCGAGCGAGATCCGCCCGTGCGCGGACGCGATAAAGCTCAAAACGCCGACAAACCGATCAATATCATTATAAAAAAGTAAGCATCAGTCTTGTGAATAAATTTACGTCTGCTACAATCAACTAGCAGTCTATGAACCGCGTCGCGGGCCGTCAACGAATCTTTGGCGAGAATTTTCCTAAATCGGATATCGTCGGCCACCCGCCCGGTGGAGAATCAACATCTGTCCGCTCGAGCCGCGTCACCCGCCACATTACGCCACAAACAATGCAAACTTATTTTGCTATAGAAGAGCAAACGTAATTATGAAGGTGGATTTAGATCAACAAACTAATAGAACAATAGAACCAGCGCGAGAACATAAAGTAGATAAAATTGATTGCGAAATAAAAATCAAAATAAAATCCTCCAAAACGGAGAAAAACGAGTATTCGCTCGTAAGATCTAAATCCACCTTGAAATTACCACTTAGAGACGAGCCGTCGCGTGGCGATGCGGCGCGAGCCAAAAGAGCATCGAAGTTATCGACCGCACGGCCAGAAGCAGTTCCCGCCGTAGCGACGTCCGAGTTTCCTCTTCTTGGCGCCGCTCACGGCCGGCTCGCGGTCGGCGGCTGCCGCGTACAATGCTGCGGGGTCCTCTGCAACGCACTCCAGTCTCTCACCTGCACGCTTTTGCTTGGCGAGCAAGTTGGACAACACGCGTGACGACGTGCAGTGCCGCGCTGGCAACTGCCGTGCTGTAGTGCTGGTTGAAGCGACTGGAGGGGCCACGGGCGCCGCTTGTACCGGGGCGGCCTTGTACGACATGCAGAATTGCTCGTACACGACCACCTTCGTGTGGACCGGCAGCGACGCTATCTCGACCCTCTTGATGCGTTGCACCTCCTTCTCTGGCACCCACTCGTCTTCGATTCTGTAATGCAAAAAGAGCATTTAGTGGCAGAATAGGAGTGTGCCACACAGTGGCGGCTGCAAACACAAAGTGGGCATAGAGTAGCGTCACTAGATCCATTAGTTATGGTACTAGTGACGCTACAATGCTGGCGCCATCTAGAGAAGTAAAATGTAAATGTTAACTTCACAATGAAGTGTGTTTGCAGCTTTGGGTTGCAATCCCGCTATGAGAACATGTATATGAAGTCAAATAATAATAGACACCATGCAACTACCAAGCCGTAAACAAAAGTTCGATCGAAGTAGAAGAACCATCATCTATGTGTTATTTGGGAACTGATAATAAGTGGCATCAATGAACTAACACTGAATAAAAAGTAAAACGAAAGCTCCAGTAGGAAAAGCAGTCTAACAGATAACGCCCGAATTTTGGGACTGGCAACCCAAGAAGTCGCTAGCAAAAATTTTCATATCAGATTTCTTTTGCTTCGCCAATACAATAATGTTAAATGACAATATTTTATTGGTCAAACAAAATTGTTAGTTTCCAATCAATTCGACAGGTATGCTAGCAACTAAAGTTTATCCACCTGTGTGGCACGTAAGGTAACATTTCCATGCTAAACATGAATATTGTAGGACCAACTGCATGCTGTAAAGCGAAAATGTGTAAATTGCTATACGAGATATGAGTCAATTTAGACTACATGAGAACTGAAGCCCATGTAAATATCTTGATAATGGGAAACTAGCTATGAAGTTAAATAAATCGGCTAATTAATCCATTAGAGACATTAATTCCTTGAGCGTAAGCATGAATTTGATAATTATGTACCTTTACTTTTTCTGCATATGCAGACACTTTCTTTTTCATCTGTACAATTTTTAGATTCTTTCAATGAAACCCTTACACAGTTGTTAAATATATAAGTTACAACAAAAGTTAGTATATACATGAACACTGACACAGTGTTACAATTTGTTAAACATTCAATAGTAATATAAATCAATTCTAATTTTAAATACATATTTATTATTCGTATTAAGTAAATTTTTCTTAAAAAATTGTCACATTTTAAATTGTTTTTTTCTTTTCTTTTTGCAACAATACTTCTTTCAATTTATTTTTCAATATATGAATTTTATTTTTATTATTATATAGTGATAAACCGATATCATGACTGTGTGACTTAACGAAATGATTACAAGCGCAAAAAAATATTAAAATGAACTATGATGACACCCACCTGTTTTTTTACCTGATCAAGTTACATACATATTTAATATCCGATAAACTCTGTGCTGGAGAGTAGATCGTTTAATATGTTAATAAATTGAGGTAACGTTGTACTTGTATGAGTGTAACAAATTTAATGTTATAGCCTCACTAATTATGGACTCTATATATACTATGTTAAGGCTCATATTGACAATCAAAACGATGATATGTAAAAATTAATGGGAACTGTAAATAAAATTTGAGAGTTAAAATACACTATCCACACTCCAAACTGATATTGTATTGTAGAATGCAGATACTGAAGCAGAAATTACATCGATTATAGAGTTTTGTATAACACCTTAGTCTTTAGGAATGGTAACGCATATCCTGGACGAAACAGTATACTCTGTTATTACCATGGTACATAGGCGACGGTTACCACTTTCTATCAGGTGGACCTACAGCCTGTTTGCCATTCTAAGTTGCATATCTTTGGGTAGTAACAATGCAGTGATATTGTACCAAGTTTGAAATACAAAAGATTTATTTGACATTTCACATAGAAATCATTATACCAGCCATTACTGTCAATTGCTGAACATAGATAGGCCTTTCCCATTAGGGAAGTGTTGCTAGTAGTTGATCACGCTTAGCTAGCGGGCTTATAACCATATTTAAGCTTTAGGGATGTTTTAAGAGGGACGCTGATGCCCATTCCTCGAACATTAAGTTTTCTTAGTCGCCTCTTACGAGCCAAAGGAAAGACTGTACTTCATTCTTATTTATCACATTCATATGCTTTTTTTTATATAATTTATAATTTAAGATTGTTTGCCGACTGCTTTAACCATGCTGTGTGTACACCTGTCTGGGTCTCAATCTAGTTCAAACTATTATCTTTATATAAATGTTCATAATGTTATTGATTGTAACCTGTTGTGTATACCTTTTAATAAATAAAAAAAAAAGGGCTGGCCCATTCTATGCAGGGACTAAACAACATACAAAATAGTTAACATATAGGAATACAAGACAGAAAAACAGTTATTGAGGATTAGATTCTTTCTGTGCACTCCATACCTGGCAAGAAAATAGATTAATACTTCAAAATTTTTCAATCAATATTTAAAATGTAATTTGTACGCGTAAATATAATAGCAAAATTTTAAAATCTTTATATGGTTTTTAAACCATGGCATATGGTTTATGGTTATGAAATGGTGGAATGTAAAACTAGTTCTGTTCACATTTCGTTGAGTATTACCAACAACGGATATTTGGTAAAATAATTTATGTGCATACTCAATGCCAATAAGAATTTTAACAATCTTGTCATGTAAAAGCAATTGATTTTTTTTTTTATGTTTACAGAGGGCAAAATAATTTGGTATAATTCTTATGCCTTCCCTTAGATTAGTTAGATAATATAAAATATATTAATTATTTTTTAAGAACTAATGGATTCCACCTCGAAAGATTAAATTTTTTATATTAAGTTTTAAATATAGAAAATAATGTAATATTGTGTAGTAGTACTATTAGATATTCCTTTAGCAATTTGGGATTAAATAAATCGTTGAAATAAAATTTTAAAGACCAAAAACACGAAGAAAATATTTACATGAAAAAATGAAAGCAATAAAAGATGCCAGGTTAGACAGTGACCTCTAATGCTCTCAATTTCAAGTTTCCCTTAATTTTACAATCATAGTTTTGATTAAATCAATAAATATTAATCTTAACCTTAGTAGAAAATTACTCTTATTGTTACCTTACAATACTTATTAAAAATATCTATTCAAATGCAGTTATTTTAAAATGCTTGTTACTTTGTCAGTTTAAAAATACGTTAAAGTTTATATATTTTTTAGTAATTGCGAAATATATGTGACAAAGTTTTAACTGACCTAATATATTAAATACCTAACAAGTGGAAACACGTCCCTGCCAATAAAGTATGAACCTCAATGCAATTAACAATACTCCCTTAAAAGCACAGATACTAACATTACAAGAGTGTTTGCACGAAAGATGAAAATTAAATAACTCCAAGTTAGGCTTACCTGAAAAACAGGCTACGCTATGATTATGTCGTAACAATAAATATTCAGGTAGAAGTGACACTCTCGTGAATAAAATTATACCTACACACCTACACTGACGATTCGCGTCCAACTCGTGTCCTTTTAAATCAGGGTTTGCAAGCAATAGTTACCGAGTAGATTTCGCTCACTCACACATGTATCGAGTGATTCGTGACATATCGTAAAATTATTTTTTAAATATGAATACAATTTTAACAACCTTCTCAACCTTTGGGTAATCTGAAGGTAATAAAAAGATTTTCGCGGATTACCGTATTCACGAAGGGAGGCACATGAGTATCACTTCTACCGAGTGTATTTATTTTTATGGTTTTGTTATTTGTTAAGGAAAAACCAACATTCTAGATTGCTCTTGACTTGACTAAAACCTACTGTTTACAGAATTTTAATTTTAATAATTTAATATTTTTAATATTTAATTTTAATATTTTTAATTGTTAGCTAAGTAATCCCTCTAATTAGTGATAGAATCTCATTATTCATTTTAATTCTCAAGATATTATTATATCTTGAGTTTTAATAAAGCTTAATAATTAATAAGTAACGCTGCACATCCTAAAGGTTGACTGGTAGAGACTACCTATAGCATAGTCCACCTTCTGTACCACATTTTATTGGTCAATAAAGTTTAAATAAATAAAATAGATATAATTTATAACATAAAAAAAAAATTAAAACGCGGGCATGGAATGTATTTTATATATTCTCATAAATACCCAAAGATACTAGTACATATTTATGTAAAAAGTGCACATTCAGTAGTCTCTGTCACGCGACACGTTTCGTTCAAAATTATTACAAAAATGTAAACAGCAGATAAAACGCAATCAAGATTAATTTGTAAAGTTATTTATTCATTATCCAATAATGTATCAAAATTCTGTGGAACTGATTATCGTATCTTTATTATTTTTTTATAATAAAAATATTTATCGTATTGTCAGTTTTGTTATTAAATCCTTATTATTATTATTATTATAAATATTAAAATGAGTGATTGTCTGTTTATTCGTCATGGTGTTTTACTGCTAAAGCAATTGTCATGAAATTTGGCATGTATATAGTGGGGTCGATTCTGAGACATCATTTCCACGAATCTACATCCTAACTTAATATTTTAATTTGATAGTTTCACGAAATTACTTTATTATGTATAATCAAAAACTAAATTTAAAATAATTTAGACTTACATCTATTAGAAATATAGTTTATAATGGTCTGATATCGCTGTCATATCAAATTGAAATTTTAATTTTAGACATACGTTTCGAGAAATGTCGCTTCAGAATCGACCTTAGTATTTGAGATGGACAAAGATATAGCGTACTTCTGTTCATTTTTGTTCTGACATTACATGTTGATAAAACAATATGCAATAATCTATTCAAATTACTTATATGTAACAAAAAACAGAACGTGGAACGTTTTCAATATTAAATAAAGAATTGTAAATTACGTCCAAATTTAAATTAATTATAGAAATTATTTTCCTAACTATTAATAAATATCCCCTCTATTTCTAGAAAGTGACAAATTGGAGAATCAATCAAGATACGAAACTTAACATCGACCTAATATCAATAGAAATAATGGTTATATAAAGAAAAACCTAAAAACGAATATATTAAATATTGGTTATCCAATATGTATCGAGACGAAGAACCTGATCGAAATCAATATAAATACCACATAGTATGAGCAATATCAAAATGAGTGATGACATTTGTTCCACCATCAACATTCAATATACAGATATAGCAAAGGTATCGAATACCCGATACTATCTGTGCCTAGTAAGAAATTGGGGACAAGTAATAAGAGTTCGGGGCAAGTCATAAGAGTTCGGGGACAAGTAATAAGAGTTCGGGGACAAGTGGTAAGAGAGAGGCAACTTACACATGTGGCGGGAAGTACGTGACAAGCGCCTCGGTGCGGTCGGCGGCGGCGTTGTACCGGGTAGCGCGCAGGGCCGCGTGCAGGGTCAGCGTGTGCTGGCCGGCGGGCTCGCGCAGTGGACACGTGCCGCCCAGCCGCCAGCGCGTGCAGCGGGTCAACCGCCACGCGAGGCCCTCCATCGTACCGGCATCGAAGAAGTCGAACATTCGCGCTGGAATATACACATGGTCTATTTATATATCAGGCCCTTTACAATAAACCCGCCACGGTGGAGGACTGTTAATGAGGACTAGTCTTCACTGTACTGATCATGTCCACAAGCGAAGGTTAACGATTCTAAGTTACATAAGCACAAATCAATGCGGTTCTCCCTGGAAATCTTCGTAGTCATATTACAACAATTATGGGGGGGGGAGGCTTGATGCTAGTCCACGAGTCCAATTGTTAGCGATATACCCTATCAGGTCGACCTCCACATGGTCCCCCCTGGAAACCATCGTGTTGATTTCCAGATGTATTGATCACAATGGACTGACCTGCCGTTTCATTCTCACCTATTATTTCTCACTGGTGTCCTGCGAAATCATTAGCGCTGGCGGGATTACTATTCCATTATCATGCATTAAAAAAAAATACACCAACTAACATCATCCCCACCTATCTATCATCCCTGACTGACACCATGCCAGTGTAAATCAATAGCACACATGAGATATGAATGGTAGTCCTTACCATTCCATTTCCAAATACAAAAAAAAAAAAACTAACGTGCGGCAAAACGTTGGTGTATTGTGAATATATATTTCAATGAAAACAATCATAATTACAACTAAAAAAAAAATAGCAAGAATAATGTTTTATACGTACGTAAGATTTTAAAATATAAATTAGGGTTATTTACAATTAGATCTTCGTGAATATTAAGAATACTCCACTGTTGCGTTCAGCACCTTAATCACGTATCGACTGATGTTGACAATGGGTTTACACATTTACGAGCGAAAAAAATCGGTCTACCCGCTTTTTGTTTTTTTTTTTTTGTATTAATAATAATTGTTCATCAATGAAGATAAAAAAAAAATAATCCTTTTAAACTGGAATGTAATAGTTAATTGAAGTAACGATGTATGGAAGCCGTGATGACGCCACCTATAGTGGAATTTAACGACTGCCTATCATAAATGTCACAGCTAAACGAGCCGTATGATATTACGCCTACATTAGTATTAGTAACAAACAAACTCACTTTCGCATTGATTTTTATTATATATATATATATATATTATATTTTTTAATCAACTTAGAATGGCAAACAATCCAACAGCTCACCTGATGAAAATTGGTAACCGTCGCCCATAGACATCATGGCCATAACAGAGTATACTGTTTCGCCCATGAAACCCCCCATAACTCTGAGAACTAAGGTGTTATGCCTTTGTTCCCTGTAAATTCACTGCCATATCTCACTCTTCAAATTAAAATATAGACATGCAAACACAACTGCTGCACGGTTGAAACACGAATGAGACAGGTGCCCAAGCAATCGAATTTTATACAAAGTACTTTAGTACTTTAGTACTATACTCCTTACTAATATTAGTAAGAATACATGGTATTTGGGATGGAGTAGAACATTAGCTACCTTTATCACATGGACCAAATTGCAGGTCACGGAGCTCTAGTAGCGGATAAAAATTGGTCATCCATAAAAAAAAATAACTTACCAGACCACGGCTGTCGTCTGTACCGCAGCTTCTTGCCATTCCGCCGGATGAGTTTGGAAGCGCTGTCGGTCGACTTCTTGCTGCCGCTGGTGTTCGGTGACGCCTCGTTGAAATGATTGTTCACGTGGCGCTCCAATAATATCTGGAAAGTTCCACGTCCTTGTTACATTTGATTGAAGATGTTGGCTTTTCTCCAACGTTGGAAAGGGCACGGTTTATAATACTTTATTATCCTAGATTGGAGATTGGATTATTTCAAATTTTGTGGGCGTTTCTCGTAACATTAACAGTATTATCAGAATTACCAGTCTATTAAATAGAATAAAATAATTTCAAATGTTTTTTTTTAATGATTACAATTATTACGTTAATTTTGTATTTTATGCACGGAAAAATTACTAATTCACTCTTGCGCCCCCTACCCACATCTATCTGTTTTACTTTAACCAAACGTTGTCTGTAAGAGATTCCCATAGCGAAAAGACCGCCTTTTGTACTTTTATGTATATATTTTTATCTGTACTTTATGCTACTATATTTCACTTGTTTTTTCTAATTGTCATTGTATATTTTTATGTTTTTGATGCTATAAAGTTTTAAATAAATAAGTAATTTTTAATAGCAAAATTAATAGTTTACTCCATTTAAAATACACGAAATCGCATAAATTTGCGTTATGTTGCGGTTAAATAAAAAATCCGAATAAAATTAAATATGTATACATATTTAATTTTGTTCGGATTGTTAATGATATATTTATTGCTACTTCGTTTTATGAATAACAATAAATTAGTACGTAACCACGTTATACTACATCAATGGGTTATAACAAAATAAACTATTAAAAAAGGCTCCGTAGTCATTAAGTTAAAATTTAAAAGAACTGTTAACCTTTATAAAATTATCAAAATTAAGCATTAAAATCGTTTCAATTTTTTTGAAAAATTGACAGGTAATGCAAACGCTATTAGTCTTACGAGAAACAGAATAGCCAATTAAAATTACTATAAATTTTGATAATTTCTGCCAATTTGTATAGATTCTCTATAGAAATGAACATCCGCCTGTAAAGAAATCCTTATGAGTTAGTTACGCCTAACACAATACTTGATTTATTCCTTTGGAGTTGACGTCCGTCGCCATGTTGTGGTAAAAAGAAAGTAAAAATCGACGACGCAAGCGCAGGCTATGTTTATTTTTAATTCCTTTTTAGATACAAAATTAGTATGGAGTAAGGATTGAGTTTGAATTGCTTACAGCGTCAGAATATAGGTATATGGTGTTGATATGTAATCTAGGAGGATTAAACCATAATATAATTCCTCAAAACCTCAAAGCATTAATATGATCTATGTAACAATTATAAAGAAAATAACAATAACACTCTTTTAACATAATTTAAGAATTTCGAATCCTTATCACAGTAACACGAATCAAGTGTGAGAAGCCGAATGTTTAGCTTGTTTATCAAAAAATATACAAACAGTAAAATAGATAAAAATAAATGTAAGCATAAACAAATTTTTAGAAACATATGTAAATAAAATATATTTATAAACATAATGACGATAGGGATACCTTTTGAAAATGTTTTCAAATATATTGACTAGTAATACAAACACATTACCAGTACTAGGGCGTAGAAAACTTATAAATAGTATTTTTATTGTTGAAAACTACTAATTTATTTATTTGAAATGAACTCAAATAAATGAATTCAAAAATTTTTATTTGCAGTACATTTTTCAACACCATATCTAAAGAATAAGAAAAGCATAATAGTATCATTTTATTCATTAGTATATTTAATACGCATAGCGAAAAACAATTAGTGGTAGCAATTTACAACTTGCACTGGCATCGTCGAAATATACAATAAATTTATTTTATAACGGAAATAATAAATAAATTTATTGCTCTGTAAAAAACAATAACAGTCCGTAGTGTGCTGATCTATGTGGAGGATACTTCTGTCTCATCAGAAGAGCCTCTTCAGTCCTTAGGAAATAAAAGACACACAGATTTATCGTCCGAATTATAGGTTGACTTACTTGTACCCTAGTTTCGAGCTACTTCATCACAAAAAGAGAAATTAGACAATGTTGTCTCCTAAAAGACATTTAGAAGTAAATTGAAACGACATAATAGGGGCTTAGAAAATAATGTTCCAGTAATAATTTGATTTAATCTTCTATTGGAAAATTAACAGAGGTAATCTAAACAATTAATTGACTAATAAATGAGAAGAAAGTCAATGACCATATAATAGGAATTACACTAAATACATTTTGAACAAAGTAAATGATCCAACCACTAGTGGAGGCGATAGGACGATACGAGTATATAAATACATAATAATGATGATAATGATGATGAAAAAATAAACAAAACTATTTCGACAACAGTAAATATTTATAATTGATATAATAATTATCTTAATAGTACACCTCGGGTGCATAGTCTTATCCGAAGATCCACTATGTCTTAAGAGGACACTAAATAAATTTATCAATAGGTACACAAATACAAAACAAACAATCTTATCTCATTTGACGAGTTCATTAAAGAATACCAACATAACTAACCGTCAGAACGATATAGACAATAACCCATTCAGTGCAAATGAAGAAAGAGAGTGTTATTGTGGATTCGTTTTGGCGATGAGCATCCTGGATATAAGGATAAGAAGACTTGTTGTAGTATAGAGGTATAAAATTACAGAGGATCGATTAAATGGTGAATTATTGTCACCTATAACATTGAAATTACTATATTGAAACGAATTGCCATTTAATATTTTGGAGTCTGCTTTGTAATTGCATTTGTCCGGTCTGTTGACTTGTCAATGCAAATAATTTCAAGGCTTAAATGACTAAAGTAACTGAAAGCAAGATTATAGGACAAAGGCACTGGGATTAAAACGGATTATCAAAGAACGTAATTATACCTGAGTAGAAAATCGCCTCTCGCAGCCGTCGACTATGCACTTGAAGGGTTTGTTTCCGCCGTGTGAGAGAGCGTGCCGCTCCAGCCACAGCCTTGAGCACGAAGGTTTGCCACGGACCTTGCACTGTTCCCATAAGCACACGTAATTCTCTTTCCCCGCTTGGGTTTCCACGTGGACAGTCTGAAAATTTAAACAAAAAATATATAAATCAAATTATTATAAGTATTAAGTATCTAAATTTTCCTTGGGAATGTTGTTACACATATTTATAAATCACTGTTTTATATTGGTGATTAATTAAAAGGCAATGAGATTAAATTTAAATTAAATCACAACATATTCTGTAAAGGCTGTACAGATTGATATTTGTTAGTCTTTTCCTACAAAAATTACAGAACGCATTTGAATAAAATTTGATACACGGATACATTCTAACATATAGAATACAGCTAGCAAGTATTTAGAGTAAATACGGAATGTAACGCATGTTAAAATATTTCATTAGTTTAGAATGCGATTAACTACAGAGTAAATTTCAAGTCTTTCATATGGAGATAGACATATTATAGATATAAAGGCTTATTTTTCCAAAAAGAAATGTATTTGTCATATATAGAGTATATTTTATAAGTAAAAAAATTACCTGTAAATGCTCCAACAGATCACTATCACTATCAAGCTCCCGCTTGCAGTTCTCCCACAAACACACCGTAACCGTGGATGTCGTATCAGTACTAGATGTCCTTTTATCACTGCCGGCCTTTATCGGATTCCTGGGTGGGAACCGCAACGTTTTTGGCTGTTTCAGAATAGGACTTTTCTGACTGCTTTGCACTTCCACTGAACACACACTCACACTTAACGATAAAGAGGAATCCTCATCACACTCTTTGCTAGTTTGCGAGTCACTCGGCGAGTCGATGGATTTATCTGTACCTATTCCAGATTCAGACGACTCTGTGGTGGCGTTACAGAAATTTGCTTCTATCACAGTACTTTGAACGTTTGACGAAACGTCCTTCAGAACAGTTATTTGTGTGAATATAGTTTCTTCTCGCCTCGCAACTTCTTCCACTTTTCTCAGTTCCTCGCCTGTTGCGTCAATTCTTATTTCTTTCTCTTTTTCTTCTGAAGTCTTACACTCCCTCAATTTCTCCAACGTTAACTCTTCAATTTTTTCCGATAAACTAACTTGTGCAAAAGGCCTCGACAACATTTTATTATTATCTAATGGAACAATGTTATTATTAACAGTTTTTGACAGCCATGGTATATCACACTTCGGACTTACATCACTTATTTCTGGTTCGTTAACAGTGCTACTGGGTGGTTCAGTACCCTGAATTGGATTGTCGGGCGGTTTTACTGGCGCTATCGGTATACTACTCGTATGTAGTGTTTGAGTTGTAAAGTTGGCTACGATAGGCGGAGGATGATGTACTATCGGATTTGAACAAGTAGACTGTGAAGACGATGCTGTGTGTGTATTCGCGTAACTCCAAGTTTCTTTCACATTTATATTTGGCACAGACGTGACAATAAATCCAGGTTGTGGCATCAATACAGGATGACTTAAGTTAACCGTGTAATTAGATTTTGGTTGTACTGTCATTCCGACGGGTTGCATTCCTGTGACATTTTTATTCATCACTGGAATAGATTGACTTGTAACTGGTGCCGGTTTATTGACATTTGTATATGCGGACGTCATTGTGTTTGCTAGTTTTAAAAGTGTGCCATTTATAAGAATTTGCGCCGCTTGCTGATTTTGTAAATGGTCTTGCCGTTGTGGTGTTAACTGTGCAGTCTGCGGTAAAACAAAGTTTGGCATTTTCGCCATTAAATTAGGTATTTGTACGACGGCTCCATTCAGATTTTGTACGAGTGGGAATACAAATTGTCCATTTAATTTTGTGGGACTCGAAACATTGACATTAGGTCGACTGAAAGTCATATTAGTTTGTTGATTTATAGTTTGTGCCGGTATACCGTTCTGAGGTATTCTTAAAGCCGTTAGCATTACATTCTGTGGAACAGCAACAAAAGATGCTAAATTGCTGGATGTCACAGTGCCATTGCATGCTTGAGGGATGTTTAGTTGGCAATTCTGGAAATTAGTTACAGGTGCGTTTAAATTACCGATATTACTGTTTACTGTCATTGAAACTTGGCGAACACCATTTGGAATATTTATCTTTGGTGCTGTGTTACCCTCACCAGACAAACCCTTTATGGTTGAACTCTGAATCGAATTAACACAATTTTGTTTTTGTAATTGCACTTGTTTTAGATTATTTGCTTTGGACCAGGTCATGTTTTTACTGTTAGCTATACATGCTGATGATTTTCGATTTGTTCTTTTAGTCTGTTGTGCAGTTTTCTTTAGCGCATCTTTTTTCATAGGTGCTAGCTTGGAAGTAATAGGATTTAAACTTAAATTATTCGATCCACATGTAACACCATTCATTTTATTATCTAACTTAGTAGTAGAACTCACGACGCCATTTATTCTAGTAGTATCAGGTTTAGAAACAGTATTTCTTTTTGGTGACTGACTTATAGACGTTGCTGGCGCAATTCTTAGTCCAACTAAGTTATTTGATGCTGGTATCGGTACCTTCTGCTTATTTAATGGACATGTATTATTTACGTTTATCATTCCATTGGCGGATGGGTCTGTTGGCATTTTTATGTCATGGTTTTGTTTTTTACCGTCAACCAACCCGTTTAGAAGACCATTCGTAAATTTTTCTTTCGTGAATGATTCCGTCGCTTGTCGAACTTCAACGAAACCATTCATATTCGTGTGACTTTTGTCTTTATTATCTTTCGGCTTATTGAAATCTACCATTCCGTTAAGATTTCCGCTTGGCATTATTTTGCTGAGATCTGTAGGTTTCGTGGAGTCAAAAATAGCGTTAGATGATTGATTTGCCGCTTTTCTTGAAGCAACTTCAGCTTGCTTACTGACATCCATTAACACTTTAGGACTTAGCGTCTGTGATATGTAAGAGATGTACTTCTCAAGGTCGTGTGTGACGCCGTTTTTAGGCAGGCATTTTCTTTTGGTGTCATCATTGCTTGCTGTATTAGAATCGCGCTTCAGACCATTTTGTGGCTTCATCTTGTGGCTAAAATATTCTGTGATACGACGGTGAATGGATTGCTGTGACCGGCGTACAGGAGCGGGCTGTACCGCGAGGCGTCGCGGTGCCGGCGGCGCCGGGTCGCTCGCCCAGGGCGGCATGCGCGATCCCGCGCTCTCTTCTGCGGTGCCACACGACGACTCAGGGCTGCGCGGTGAGCCAGGTTCGGTGATATCGCTACCGCTGCAACCGCCACTTTCCGTCGGACTCAGCACCGCCACGCCACTGAAACAACACATAATAACAATTAGACAAATTTTTAATATACAGCGGAGTCAATGACACATTGATATCTCGAGCGATTCTCAATTCATGATGTCACAGATCACGTTAAATGACTATCAGCTGTTGAATGGGTACAATCGATCGTATGCAAGCATAGGCGAGAGATCGCGTGAGCAGGACAACAAACGCATTGTCGGTCGGCGGGAGCTCGTGAGCGGTAAGGTGCAATGCCCTGTCGGTCCAGTGCAGTGACGCAACGAGACGCGCTACTGCACTGACCGACCCGCACACATAGAAATTATTTTTGGCCGCGTGACATTCACCGCACGTAAAGTTTACGACGACAAAATGCTATGTATAACAAATGACAAAAAACACCAACATTTTACTTATTCATTGTTTGACGCGATCATCTGCATTCGTTTTAAAACCGTGGACCGAGATTATCAATCGTGCTTTTAACCTGACAGGGAACGTGACGTTATTCAACTGAAGTCGCTTACTTATCCACATAACCCAACTCCCACGTCATGTAAAATGTTTATTCTGAGAGCACACTCCCGCACAACACGTTTAAAAATCTTTTGTTGAACGAGATCCACAGGTAAATGTCGAATAACACAATTTTGACATGTAACCCCACAAAATATTTCACATACGATTATGAACTTTGAAGATGGGGCGGCGGGTGGTTTTTCGATGAGTTTTGGGGAGTTAGGCGACCCCGCTGAACGGGAATGTGGGGGTGGATGGGGTGTTGTCTCGGCTTGTCAAGGGTGCACCCTCGCCCTTTGTGAAGCCACAATGTATAACTATAGCTAGGGTTATTCGTTCCCCTCTTTTCTCGCACTTCGCTTGGGAGCTTTGTCGCTAATTGACCCAATTTTTGAAACACTTTTTAAACTAAAGATTTTAAGAAACGGTATCTCAGGTATCTAATAGGGGATCTTAATTTAATATTGAAGATCGTTAAGTTCTCTGGATTTTATGAGTCGACAGCAAAAAGGATCTTTAACTTTGTTCTCGGGGAAATATTAGTACTTTTCCTTTCGGATCAATTCCGATCTCAGATGAACACTTGATAGTTGAAGTTAGTGTTAAAGTTTCAAATTAAAAGGTTTGAATAAGGATAAAATTGCAACAACACAATTAGAAATGTGAACGTCTTCGTTGTTACACTGGAACTACTAATGAAAAGTGGACATATTGCAAGGCAATTGCACGCGAGCCGTCTGCTAGAATAATATAGGATTTCAATTGAACAATATTCGAAGTCGTTCGTTTTTTGCGAATGTCGAAAGCAAAAGTGGCCGCGGTGTCGGCGTATGTAGGTGAGCAGAGGATGCAAGGTCGCGCCCGCGCCGATTTCGGTCGACGACCCGAGCTCGTTACAGACATTGTAATATCACTTCGAATATCGAGTGGGTGGCAATGCAGAGTTTGTTTTGGTGTCTTCTATTTTGTTATTGTGCTATTCGCTTTACCTTTGTTGATTTATGTGTAGATTGATATCTAACATTGTAAAACATCATAGAATATATAGTTGTATAATGATTCAACATAAGTACATATTTTTTATTACATACGTGTTTATAATCCTCCATTTAATGGGGAGAGACGCGTGACCAGAAATGGGTCATGATGATAATGGTGACATATAAAAAAATGGGGTCATTACATACATGAGTCAGATAGAGTCGTCAAAAGTGTTATCAATTATACGTTTTTCCAAATTAACTTACATCCTTTAACTGAGTTTAATTTGTATCAACAACTGTTTTTGTGACATAAAGAATGTTCGTCTTTAAAATAAGTATGATGGAATATGAAAATAACTTTGTGTCACGAAATGAAAAAATTATTTAAGATTTTGTTCCACAATAAAAACACCGACTTCAATCGTGGCATAACCAATTATTTTGATTTAAAAACTTTTTAAAGTTTGCAAATAATTTGTTAAAATTTGCACGGGACCCATATAGGTACATCCTTTCAGATAAAAAAAGAATCTTCCACATCAATTTATAACTAACGGAGTTATGGTGTAACAAACATGAAAAATACAAGTAAATTAAAAACCTGCTCCTTTTTTGAAGTCAGTAGAAAAAATTTTACTAATACTACGACAATTTCGTCTAATTAGTCGAAGGAGATACACAGAAATCGTCAATAAACGCAAAGTACAACAATAAATACATAACAATTGGGCATGACGATCGTATCTCGGTGTCGAATTAACGCGACGCGCGTCGTCACTGCGCCGTGACGCCCTCGTCTCGTCCCATCTATGTACCGGTGCAAGTGCCCATACATACATACATGCACTTACATTACTAATGTATTATGTATCTGTCTAACGTACAGTCGTTAATTTAACGGAATTTGTGAATTTGACAAGACATTTTACGTTTATTCTCTTTCTCCAAAAATACAAAAGTTAAAGGCCAAATTTTCACAATATTTTGTTTATAGAGAAAAGCAAATTTGTTTAATTAATCGCAGAAGATACACAGAAGAAATCAATAAACACAAAGTAAGTAATATTAAATACATGATCCAGGCAAGAAGATTGCATCTCTGTATCGACGTACACTTCTGCCTCTCTGGAATATTGTTACTTTGCAATATGTACAGCGAGAGTATCCTCTTTCAATTTACCCCTTATAAATTTGCTTACAAACTCTTCTGTCATTCATTCTTTCGATACCACACTGTCACCTCTGAGAAACCGTTCATAAAACCGATCGTAAAACATGAACCGTTCATCAAATCGGTAATCTACGCTGACATCTAAAAATCTATCTAGTTGTTTCCATGCTAAGTTTTATTACGTAGGCAGATTAGCAGAGAGAAAATCTATTATATGTAAATTTTTTGCTACGAAAGAATTGAGGTATTGAAGGAACCAGGAATGTGCAAAGATTTTTTTTCATTTAATTTAAAGGGAGGACTGCAAAGCCATGGGTGTGGATCTGTCTAATCTACTACTACTAAGTATTTCCTATTATCGCTAAGCAGCTTGCTTCGGGTTTGAAAAATGGGATATGGCAGTAAAATTACGGGGTATGTGGAAGGACTCAAGACCTCACAAGTTGGTAAAGCCCGCGTGATGTCTACAGTACTGAATGTACTGTAAGCTATTTACAAACAAGCGGTCTTTGTGTTTGATTTCTTAGTTCAATTAAAATAATATTTATGAAATTTAATATGTTTTGACTGACGGTCTACAGTGCACACTAGCGTGCACGGCAACCCGAGCTTCTCGGAAATTGTGTTCCACGTAATGCTAATTATTCTAGGAAATTACTACAACGCCAGGGCGTAGTAACTATGTACACACTACAATACGATGCCGACTTTAATTAGTGTCGGACTTGAATTTTTACCGTGCACGCATTGTTTTCGCTTGAAACTTGACATTGTGATGCGAATTACATTATTTAGTAATTATTTGTGTAAGTGAAATGAATTATGCTACAAACAAATCGTGATTAGTGCATGAAAATTATACTACAGCCAGCTACCATATTTACGAATGTCCAATTATAATTTAACAATGTATGTTTAATTATATTACATTTACATTCAACCTTTGTCGAAATTGAGTAAAAAGTTTTCTATATTATTCTAATTATCTCTCTATATTTATCTATTATTCTAATGATTCTGTATTGAGTAGGCTGGAAGAAATCTCTTTTAGAAATATATCGATCCTTGCTCACAATATTTATAACTGTCTTGCTTATGTAACTTACAAGTGCATATTATATAGGTATATATACATATATATACACAATCCAAAACAGATGTAGATAGCAATAATCTAAAAATAATTCTTACGAAAAATGAGTTTTTAAACCAATTTAAAAATATATTTTTAGCATTCTAAATCGATTGTTACATTTGTCGCTATGATAACATTCCTGCGATCCCTTGAATTTGAGAAGCTGTTTTATAGAAATGATATTTTTCGCGTTTGATTTTCTTGTATATTTTTTTAATTTTAAGTACAATACAGTACAGTACAATAGTATACAGTGTATCGCTAGATATATATCTAAGTATATCGTTACACTATATTTGTGTTTTATACTTGTATACGTATTACTAATACAATTACTATACTTTATCTTAATAATATAATAAAATTATAAATTGACGATATCTCTATACGGGAGATACTTAAGAAAAAATAAAATAAATAATTAATAAAACCAATACATGGCAAAACAATAATTTTTAGATATTACCGAATTTGTCTGTCTGTCTATATATTTCCTACGGCATCATGCAAAATTAATGCATATTGCGGGTCTAGTTTAAAAAGCTACTCGTACTGTATGTTATATCTATTATTATTAGTTATGTTTCATTGTAAGGATATATTAAGGTATCTTCAGGGACGGCAACGCGCACGTGACACCACTAGTGTTGCAGGCGTCCATAGGCTACAGTGACCGTTTATCATCAGACGGGCTGTATGCTTATTTGCCACCTCAGTGGTATAAAAAATCGTGACCAATCGCCGGATTCTTCAATAGTAAAAAAAATGATGCTTTACTTCTAGATAGGGCATCAAGATTTTTTTGTCAAGAAAAAACAATGATAAATTTCTTTTTCTATTTTTGAAATGCATACCTTATATACCGATCCAATTTTAGCGTTACAAACTATAATAATACACTCAAGACCATCCCCCAAAGGCTAGTCGGGGGTACAAATTAACAAAAATAACACATCACAGCGAACAGGACCCCTGTTACGCACCAGTGCGTTTAACATAATGAGTAGGCGTACAAAAGCGCAAATAATACCTATATGTCGTGCGCACATGTATCCAAAGACTGGTATTGACGTACCCTACACTGATTTCCATGCTGTGACCATGGGCTATGGTTTCGAAATGGTATTTATTATACAGGGTCAAATACAAATCACTAGCATCCTTTTGAAGTGAAACTGAACTTTATCTAAAAAAAAAATTGTAAAAAGATATAATA